CAGAAGGCGATGAGCAGGTCCTTATCGATGACTTTCCGCCGCCTTGCCTCAGTCCCCCAGCAGCCTGCTTGACCCTTGATAACCGGGCGACGACCGAGCAGGTAGCGATTTTGATGACCGCAATCTCTGAAGGGCAGGTGCCTAAGTTTTAAGGAGACTTCGCCACGGCCTCCAGCCCTCCTACTTTCTCATCCGGGCTTGGGACTCGCAAAGTTGGAGTTCCCCTAGAAATGCGTACAGAATTTGACAAATGTATTTGTATGTTCATTTAAATATACCATATTGTGAAAGGAACCTTTTTCAAAAATTTGCCGCGAGCTTTCAAAAATGATTTGCTTTTGCTGTTGAACGAAGCCAGATGAGCAACATTTGGCTGAGCGTGACCCCGGGAGCTATTTTAACTTGGTCTGCCATTTGCATGTTAGAAACGATTTTGAGGATCGTCAAATGCAGAGGATGCTGTGGATAACCTCCTATATTATTGAACCATTTCTTCCAGAAATTTTTTTCCTACGTGCTAGAGGCAATATGACGACCAATATTGAAAATCCCTTGAATGTCGAAGGACAGCGTAGAGTATCATTTCATGCAGGTGTGGTGGCCGTTGAGTTGTTATCTCGAATACTAAAGTGTGTGTATATAAGAGGGAAGTGGACCCTAACAAAGCAGAGATAATCTAAATTCAGATGATCTCAATGAAGATCTGCATGGACTTAAGGTATGGTGAATGAAAACTTGTAGACAGATTCGGCAAGTTTCAACGTGGGTTTTTATTATAGTGAATGAAGTGGTTTCTTGCTTTTTAAAATATGAATTAATATAATCATGTTTTTCACACTGACATTTAGAAAAATCCAGCCCAGAACATTTTGTTTCAGTCGGTGGTATGTAAGGAAACGGATAAAATTCTCGAAAAGATGATCTCGAATATAAAATTGGCTATCGCAAAGTAGGAACACGCTGTGGTGATTAGCGCTAGGATGTCGATTTCGACTTTTTTCAGACATCAAGCTTACCTCGACGAAGCAGTTGCCTCTGATCCAGCGAAAAGAGAAAGACTGAGAAGGCTGCACTCTGGGGAGGTCTGTTTTTGTTATTTGATTGTGTGGTTTTCTACGAGGCAAGGCCTCAACGTCCCTGTATATGTATTTGCGTGTAGAGTTTAAGGAAAGGGAATATTTCTTTTGCTGCTATAAATTACTAACGGTATGAACCGTGTATAAGGAAAATTTCTTGCGTTCGGTGTAGAATGAAAAGATGATAGTCTACACACTCCAGAAAAAGTCGGGTCGTACAAACTGTTTTATAATCTGCGATTATTGCTTAGCACTGCCTTTGGCCACTGGGTTCTGATATCTAGGGAAACAACTGAGTCATGCAGAGACACATGAACTATGGCATGGACTTGCTCCTCGTTTCAAATAATTAGTTTCTGTTAATGTTGAAGGGTGTTTCATGCAGTTTAAATGGTTGCTGTGCGGTACAACTTTCT